CAGCAGGAAGGATACAAGTCAGAAGTAAGACTTGTTTGGAGAAGCACCAAGAGAAAAACTGGAGAAGCAGATTATTCCCAGAACGCTGGTTGTGGCAGCATGTCTGTCATCGCTTCCCTTTAAAAAGGACTTCAGTGTCTGGACACACGTGGGCTAACAGTCCTTCAAGCCATCCTATTTCATCCTGCATAAAGCTGGTCAGGGAGAACACACCCAAATAAGCCACCGTGCCTCAGCTGAGAGATGAGAGCTGCTGTAACGGTTCTGAAGGAACGCTGCAGGTAGGAGCTGACCTGGGGCCAACGGCTCCCTGCCCAACAGGTTCGCGTTTGCCAGACGGACTCCCTGTCCCAACCCTCAGCAGCTGGTAACGCCAGCTCATGCTGCTCCTTTTCATTGGCAAGGGGCATGGCCAAACTCATCCCAGAGTACAGATGAGAAGTTTCATCGAGTGCCTGCTCTGTTTGGGCTTAATAGTTGTGCAGAAACACGCACAGCAACACTTCGTACCAAAGCAACGGTCAGCATCACGCAAGCACACACGAGCCCTCTCAAAGCTCAACTTTAAGTGTGCAGATTTCCTTCACGGGTATTCAGACAGCTCTCAGGTGATTTCATTCACCAGCATGGCCATTTATCTCAAGACAACAGAAGTCACCTGCTGAAGTTCCTGTGTCTCTCCATCGACTATGGAACACACACAGTTCATACAGATCCTGCCCAACAACAAAACACGGGTTTATATTCTATTCAGCATTAAGATTCTTTCTCACGCCTACTGACACAACACACCTAACAGTCCTTCAGCCACTCCTCAGCTCAGGGCACTCATTCACCCAGGGAGTAAAAAGGGCAGGAATACAAGGCAGCCTGGCACTGACAGCTGCCTGTGCTGGGGGACACAGCTGGGGCCGGGCCAAAGCTGCTGCCGGGCTGGCAGCGTCCCTGTCCCTTCTCTCCCTGTAACATCAGGGAAACACAAAAGAATGACAGTGGTGAACTGGTCAGAATGGCTTCAGCTCAGTACAGTCGTGACTGCAAAATCAAACACAGCACAAATGAGCGAGTGCAAAACAACTTGACAACTTCTCATTTGTGGCAACTGGCCACTATTGCTACTTTGCAAATATCCCTGGGACTATCGACACGAATCCCAGTCAACGGCACCACAGTTCAACAGCAGTGCCAGCAGCCCATCATACAGAGCTACTAAGCACACTGAACAAGGAGGCAACTTGTGTTTTCCTTGCTTTGCCCTCCCATCGGCTGTGACTATCGAAGCAGCAAAGCACAGACATCCTGTACAGGTACCTGATGTCTTCTGCCCACCTCTGCCGGCAGAAGGGAGCAAGAAAGCTGGAGCTGGTAAAATGGTTTCTACAGGGCCTAGTGGAAGCACACTAATACCCACCCAAAGCCACTCTGCACTGCACATTCTGTACAAATTTTAGTAAGATGACATGAGTTCTCTACATTTCTTCAGCTTGGATTCTTAAAGGCATGAACGTTTATTTGAAAACTTCTCTCAGGCCCTGAAAAACCTTAAAATTATCAAGAGAACAATAGCCAAGCCTTAGCTGAAAAAATGAGGAACTATGCACAGACAGCAACTGTTCTGTTCTGTACTTTTGCCAGCTTCTCTAAGATCCAAGATTTGCTCTAAACACCTGGAGCGATGCTTTTGAGATGCTTGAATAGTGCCGCTGATCTCGAATGAGATGCAGACGACGGTCTGAACAAGGAAAGGCTGCAGCCTCAGCTTCGGAACAGGAGGCACACATTGGGCATCCAAAAGTCAGCAAGTGCTTCTCCAGCAGGAGGGATCCTGTTTATGTTGCTGTAGCTCAAACGTATTATGGCCCAAATTAAATGTAACTGTGATTAATGAGGAGAGGTATGCACAGAGATTCAAGAACCGCTTGGGGTGGAAGGGACCTCAAAGATCATC